ATAGAGCAATATCTAATATGAAGGAACACTGAATGAAAGTTTAACTGGGGGAGGAAGTCTGAAAAACAACCTGAGGTGGGAGTCCGAGACCATGCTCTCATTAAATACATATAGTTTATCTTTGCTTGAAAATAGAGAGGCCAGAGACAACTGGAGAACCCTTTCACCACAATCTCCAAAAGAGGATGCAACTGAGAGCAGCTTCCAAAATACCGTAAAAGGCCGGAGATAAGCCGCAACCGCAGATAAGCCGCACCCTGAATTTAGCAGCTCAAATTTTGGAAAAAAGAGTTTTTTAAAAGAAATCAAAAGAAATCAAAAGAAATCAAAAGAAATCCAAAGTCGAGTCTTGAGAAGTCTTCTTCATCCACTGTTCATCGAACGTAAACTCACTATTAACATTAGCTGCAACGGAAAATACTTTTAAGTCTTACCCACAATTTTAGCACTTTAATATAATGAACATCGTTTCTACCAACTTTGACAAATGATTAATCTTTTTCTGGTATTTGTTGAGAGGAATTTCTTCATTCAACACAGTTTTTCCATAGATTTTTGCATTACAACAAGAATGTGAGCGAAACATTCGAAGTTTAGTAACCAGGCATTAGATCGCACGTGTTAACGAAAACTGCCGCAACATTCACGACACCTTTTTCAAATGTTCCCGCAGATAAGCCACACCCCCAGTTTCTAGCGACGATTTTTGGAAAAAAGGTGCGGCTTATCCGCGGGTTTTTACGGTACATGAATGTAAATGTCAGTGGAAGATGACAATAGCCTCAAGCTGATTTGAAAATTGGAGGGTTTGCAATCCCCCTGACTTTGAGGAACAAAAATCAGATTTCAGAGACATAAACAATGCATCATGAAAGGGAATTGGAATTTCAACACTGACAAATTAGTTTTACAAGTGCAGGTATGACTGTCTGCTCTCCCAGCAGCACACTTTGACCTCTAAGAGTGACCAGCACCTAATTTCTCCTTACAGTATCACCCCTGAATCACACATTAAGGTCAGGAGAATATAGGAAATGATCACCAGCTAAAGAAGCTCTTGATTGTTAAACAAATTCTCCTTGTCAGCACCTTAGGAAATGTATGAAGAACAGTGTAAAGAAAATACATACAGATGCTGGGTGTAAAAGGTTATTATTATATGGCTGTGTCTCACAAGGACTGGGAACTACCGAATTCACAAATTTGATTGGCTGAAATCAATATTGAAAGTGGTCTGGATTTTCCCATCTAGACCGGCATCTAGACCGGTCTAGAAAAAAAAGGAACAAAGAATATAAAAAATTGACATATAAGACACAGCCCTATAATAAACATCATTAACTGAGCTAGGTCGGTCTGTATGGGAGAATCTTGACCTCGGTCGCTGGTACAGGCCTCACTGCGTTTGGTCTGTACTGGCAATGTCGGTCAAGATTCTCCCATACAGACCTTCCGCTTGGTTAATAAGAACTAAATAACAACCTGTTTGAAGCAATACTGCAATTCAAGATGACTATAATAATTGATGCTTCCCAAACACAACAAGGTAAGAATACATTGAAGATGAAGTCTGAACAAATAAACGTCAATGCTTCAGTTCTCCATAGCCCTTTCTTCTCATAAAGGAATGCTTGAAGCTCAAGTGCAAATCACACTGTCATTCAGTCGTTCACAAATTATTCTAAAATTCAGAGAAAACTAATGAGGGCTTACCAGAAATCTGTAGTGGAAATGGATATATCATACACAGTAATTCATAAATTTTTTCTGCCTTCTTCCCTGGGAAGGGAATTTCTGTTGATGTAGCTTCTTTAAAGCTTGACTGGAACATTGTGTTGAACACAGGTGAGCTGATGGCCAAAATGGATCTGTGTACATGAAAGCGCTTGTCCTCTACCACTAATACAGTGTCACTAAAATTCCATGGCTCAGAAAACTTTGGTAGCTGGTCTCCATGGTTAAACAGGTCCATGCCTGATAATGAGCGCATCAATAGTTATGCAGTAAGTTAGTTAAAAGCCAAGTGGCCAACCAAGCTTGAGCTTATCCAGCTTTCCATGCCATGAACCAATTGGGATAATTGCTTTTCTCCTTCCCCCCCCCGCCACTTCCTGATGCTAGTCTATTTGGTAAAGACTGGTGAACTCCTTGAGGCCGCTGGTATGTTGGTTGATACTATCCACTGCTGAGAAATTGTCTACAATATGAATATTAGGCCAAGAAATGAAAATGTGAAATTTTGAGGACAATCTCTCAGCCAAGGACATTATCTACTGACATAACACCAAGCCAGAAAGACTTTGTCTTTTTTTTTTTACGGGAATAATTGGAGGACAAACATTGACATAAATGGAGAAAGTTTTGTGATAATAGTTTGCTGTTTTTATACAACATGATGTCAAGTAGCCCAAAAAGTTGTACAAAAATTACTGTCTGGTTACAATGCTGGTTCCCCCTCCCCTGATGCAGGTTAAGAGAAACAGTTCACACAAGCATAATGAGGGATTAAAGGATTTGCACAGAGTGGAAAAAGTATTGAATTTTGTGCATTACTGTCTGGGTTATAATGCTGGTTAACCCTCCCCCCCCTACCCTCAGCATTTCATCAAATGTACCTCACAGTTTGAGGGTACCCATTTTTTTTATACTCCCATATGCACAAAGGTATAGTGAGTGTTGAAAGTCTTCCCAAAGAACACAGCACTATGACCTGGGTCATGCTTTTAAAAGGGAAGATAATGCTATTCACTGGATAAATAACTATCCAGCAAATAAGTGCTAAATAAACATATTGTGCAGAGAATTGATGTTTATCCGGTTGATAGAGATATCTTCCTTTGAACAACTCAGGCCTGGCCAGGTCTCAAATCTGAACCTGTTGATCGCTGGAAACCAGCGACCCTTGTTGCCAGGCCACCATGTCTCTCTCAGCTTTGAAATGTGGAAAGAGAAATTCCTACATTTTGAAATAAGTGGGATAATTGTTTTAAAGAAGGGCACCTCAAAGCAAAATCTGACATCCTCAGGGTACCCCTCGGATTAGGCTAGGAAATTTGATATCAAATTGAAGACTTTGCATAAATCTCTTGTTCATATTTGATTGGAATGATAACAGGACAGAGAGGGGTACAGTTCAAGAAGTAATCCAGCGAGTAATTTCAAATTGGTTGAGCATGTGGCATAAGACCACTAGGAAATTACAAGCACTTCTACTCCTTAGCTCTTTAACTCCCAGGAGTAATAAGAATAATCAAAACAATATCAAGCAATTTTAAGGATGGACGACAGTATTCCTCTCTCTTATGTCATAGTTAGTGAGGGAGGGCTATGAAAGCTATTTGATACTGTACATCTCAGGTTTTCAAACAAGTGTTTCATGGGGGAATGCATTCATATGTTAAAAAAAAAAAACATTTGCATCATCACTAACAAAAAACATGGTAGAGACAATTTTTAAAACAGTTTGAGCACAGGCCTGGGAAATGAAATTTGGCATGATGATGCTTGGAATTTGTTTCTATTATTAGCTAAACTACACAGAATACAGGGTCACTTTTCACCATCTACCAAACAAGCTGGCTCATTTGGCCTGTTTGCTCCTGTGTTAACAGAGAGGACCACTACTGAGCCAAATGAACCACTAGATCTGTAGACCTAAGACTTAAACATAAAGGCATGCTATGAAAGAAGAGGTGCCTTAGGTATCTCTGGATCATTTGTCAATGATCATTTTGTCAGAAGGCAGCGTGGTCGAGTGGTCAGCATGTCAGACTTGCGATCCGCCGCTCCCGGGTTCAAGTCCCGCCCTGGCCACTACCTGGATTTGTTTCACAGTAGCCCCGAGTTTCAAATCCTTGGCCATGCTTGTAATATAGCCAACTGGTTTGCCTTCGGCCAGTTGGGATTCTTAATAATGTTATTTTCAATTTGAATTATTTGTTTCAGTTGTTTGGTGGAAAACCTGTAAACTAGCTTCTAGCTAAGTGTTTCTCCATGTTAAAAACTGTTTATTTATTTATTTTTTATTACAACTGTCATGGTGTACAGACCTATATGTTCAAAATAGCTTGAGCTAAAGCCGACCCATCTAGCTCTGATAAGTTTACAAAAATATGTTTTCATCACAATGGAAGAATTTGATAAGGGTTCTATCACTTTCTCCAATGGAAACTGTCTTCATTTGTGGCAGTAAATTTGAAATTCAGGGTGAAATTCTGTCTGTTTCTAAACAATGGAGGTAAGGTAAAAGGTAAAGTCTGTTTACGAGCCTAGTGGTCCATTAGGCCGGTGCTTAACTCCGGTTTCTGTAGCATGAAGCAACTAGGAGTATTTCTACTCCCCCCTGGATGGGATGCCAGTCCATCCCAGGGTTACCCCCAGCATTAAATTTGCCAGTACCCATTTATACACCTGGGTGAAGAGAGGTATTGTGAGAGTAAAGTGTCTTGCCCAAGAACACAACACAATGTCCCGGCCAGGGCTCAAACCAGGACCACTCGATCCAGAGTCGAGCGCACCAACCATGAGGCCACTGTGCCTCCAAACAATGGAGGTAGATGACCATAAAAATAAAAAGAAAAGATGTAGAAATGTTGAAGGCCTTTCTTTAACAATGGTTGCCATAGTGGATGATTGCTGCATCTGAGCTAAAACCAAGTGGTGCAGCCAAACTATTTATAGTGCACCTTTGTGTTTAATATGCATGTAGATTATTTCTCGTTCTTTCATGCACTGCTAAGCCAGATGAGCCCCTAGATATATAGACGTATGACTTAAGGAGCATACAGATTACTCGTTGTTCTTTCATAAACTGCCGTGCCAGACAAGCCAAATGAAACACTAAATATATGCACCTTCAAAAGTGGCCTTGTACTGTGCAGTTGCTCCCCATTGTTTTAACTTAATCACCTGTAAACACAAACACCAATGACATTGCTACAACTTGTAACTTTAGATTATGTGTGTTGCAGATACAGTTTAACCTCTCTACAATGGCCACCTTAAGGACAGAAGAAAGTGGCCCTTGTGAAGAGGAGGTCCTTGTAGAGAGGTTTAAATGAATGTATGGACAGCCACCAGGACCAAGAAAAATGGTGGTTGTGGAGAGGTGGCCATTGTTTAACAAATGGTAAACACCACAGCATACATAACTGAGTTATGGATGCACACGGGAGGTTGCTACACACAAAAGAAGTATAAGAGTCGCCGAGGCAATAGCTGAGAGCGACTCTAGCTTCTTGGGCGCTTAACCTGGCAGTTACCATTTGTTTTATAACATAACATTGATACGTTGTAGCAAAAGAGTTTTCTTTTATTTAACAAATCTTGCGTGACCAGAAAAAACAAGCATGCGGGGAAAACTAGTCCTTACAGTTGCTCACGCCAGCAGCGTACGCCCATGGAAAAATGGTAGATGCTGAATTGACCAATCAGAGTGCACGCTTTACTTTGGTTATGTTATAAAGAGAGGTGGTCATTAGTGGTCATTCGACTGTATTGCAAGGAAAGTTATGTAAACGTAAGTGAAGTCTTGCTTTCAAGTAAAATAGCATGAAATACTCAGGTAATACAGTGCCTGAAATTTGAATATCAACCAATGGAAAAAGGTAATCTGTAAACAGCTCATCTCCTTGCAATGATCTGAGAACATATTCACAACAGATACAAGGCCTGAAAATTGAGTTTATTTTGATTTCCAAGATGGCGATTTCGACACCTGGTTTGGAGACGTTGGGCTTAACTGAGATTAATTAAATATTACTGTTAAAATTCTTTTGTGCATAGCAGTTTACACCCCTGCCAATCTTTTAACGCCTGCATACACTGCCAGGTGACATTGCAAAAAGAGTTTTGCCAGCATGTTTGTCATTAGTAAAGAAAACACTGATTTAAAGTCAACTGATTCCGTTTTGCATAAAGCATCACTATACAATGAACAACTGCCTTAGAATACTTTCCCTACAAACAAATAAATTCCTCATACCTGGCAAAGTCAAATTTGAAGCTGTTCCCAGTATACTTCGAAACTTTGATTAACCCGGTTCTTCGTCTCGATTAACAAAATTCATATAAAGTCAGCGCTCACCACCCAAAACAAAATTGGTGTGGTGTAAACATAATCGAAATATCATGCGGTAAAATAGGTCCGTCAGGCGCAAAAGGGTGCATTGGTTAGTTAAAACAAGACAAACTGAACAAAGATCGGTTAGTTGATTAATGTGTGACATAAGCATCACGATTGAAAGAAAAGAGAAGACAACAAATATTAGACACATGTTCATAAGCATCACGATTGAAAGAAAAGAGAAGTATGAATAGCGAATCGGTGAAAAAATCTTAAGTGGGTAGACAACAAATGTTAGACACTGTTCAGATGTATTAATGTCTATATTTAACAATTATTCGCCGAAGGCGAGGTGAATATTGTCAAATAATCCCCTAGACGAAGTCCAGGGGATTATTGGACAATATTCACCGACCCTGAGGCGAATAATTGTTTTAGTATAATTTCAGAGCTGAGCATCAAAGAAACTCCTAAAATCATAACATTTTAGTAACATTTATTAATAACATTCAGTTCTATTTTAATATTTTCTAGTACAATTTCAGAGCTGAACAAAGAGTTTCCAGCAATCTGATTGGTCGAGCGGTTCCCTGTATGACGCTATATAAACCGCTCCGCGCGGTTTATATGGCGCGTCGTTCAAATTTCATTTGCTGAAGTTTTCACACGCAATTATTTTAGCTTCTCAGGCGTAAATTTTTCATTGTTAATGGAAGTTGGTCATAGCACGTCAAGAATCCCGTCTAAGGCATGTGCCCATCAATTTGTACTTCCTTCGCAATAAACCGGTCAGGCCCGTCACTGCAATAATCAATGGGTTCGAATATCTTGTGTTTCTTTAATATCTACGGTGACAGAACGACTTAGCTGAGAAATCGAAAGTAATTTCGTGTTTACATTGGTTTTGCTTTTCTTCACCCCGTGATTGGTCCAAAACAATTTTTACGCCCATCCTTTTTTCTCTTTCCTCTTGATCTCAGGGCAAATTTGAAAGATCTTTCAGCAGCCCAATTCTGTTCTAAAGCCGTATTGTTCAGTTGCACTAAGGAGACTGGGAGCTTGAACATTTCCCTCTTCTCTTAATTCTGGCGGGGCTCAGTTTGACCTACTCCTTTAAGACATGGAATGGGGGGGAGGAGGCCCCCGACTCACCTTCACTGCAAAACACTTGATGAACTTAAAGGGCCATCTTCAGAGTGTAAAATATTTCATTTAAATGATTATAAAATAATTAAGGTACTGATTTATGGTAATGAAGGTATCGATTTACAGTTCTTTTTTTAAATCTGTTAAATAATCTTTTTTTTGACTTTTTTATCGGTTGGGAGCACCCCTTTATAAAGTGCTTTTGTAGCGAAGTGGTTACTCTCGATAAAGATTTACTCCACCACTTTTAATATTGAATCGTAAGACTTTATTTTTACGATTTTGAGATTTGGGAGAGGAGTATGCTCTTCTTCTCTGCCCCAAACCTCCTCACCTTCACTTCAAAACACACCTATCATCGAGGTAGGAATTTTCTAAAATTTGACTGCCCTTTTTGAAATGTTCAGCAAGCAACCGTAGACGATAATCCTACTCTTGTACGTTGGATCAGCAGTGATCTAATCGGCCCAAAATAACGAATATAAATATAGAAGCAAGACCAATACAACGTAGTTAAGCTTTAAGACGGAGCACTATATTTCGGTTGGCAAAACCAGCCTTCTTCAGGTGCAGTGGGAATTGACATAGAATTAAGGTGGTACTTAGATAGCTGTATGATGTAAAAGCGGAAATACGTAAAACTAGTTTGATTGACACTGAGATAAAAATAGAAGTAAAGAAGGTTAAATTGAATAAATAAAATAACTAGGAGTAAAAGTAGTGGAAGGAAAAACACTAATACATTTCTTCGCGCGTTAAGGCCATCGGGATAAATAGTATTGCCTCTTGAAATTAAAAAAGCTTCCCTGGCCTTGCGGATCGACTCTCTCTTGGAAAACACTTTTTCGATGGCGATAAGCTCCATGTCGTGAGCAGAGTGGTTGGGAGAGGAAAGGATCCGGAAGTGGTCTGCGACTGTTGTAGGTTTAGATTTAGAGTTGGGTTTATATATATTATATTTTGTTACAGCCTAAATGAAAACCAAGTTTGCTATGTATGCCGCGTAGGTTGACTAATGGAAGTCACCAGAAATCCCGCCCGCTGTTCGAAGTGTTCAATTCATCACACGCAACATGAATGGATAACCTTTTTCATTCTTTTCTTGACTGAACCTAACCACACTAAAACTGAAACAAAATCGCACAAATAAACTTGATATTTAAAACTTAAGGCTGTCTACAATGTTACTTGATTAATTTTTCGCGGTCACGCGTAAATATGCCGAAAAACATCATTAATTATACCATTAATGGCTGCAAGATTTCCTGTATAATTTTTTTTAATGCCATTGATTTCTATATAGTTTTAGAGATAATAAAGGCAATAAATTATTTAGGTATCACGTGTATGACTGATTACATGCCAATCAAAATATGTAAAAAATTAAAGTGCGCGTTATCAGTGCAACCAGACCGTAAGTGAAACCATATATCTTAAAAGGAATAGTTGAGACGAAGATAAGTTTTGTCAGTGACGTTACAGTTCCAGGTTACCGTGTAAAATTCGAGGAACAACAAGGAGTCCTTGAAATAACGCGTAACTCTGGAGCTCCTCCGTGAAAGCTTGGTAAAAATACTCTCTATGCAAGTGTTGCTTTACTCCTAAGCCACAGGAGACTGAAAAAGAAAGCAATTTCGTGATAGATCGGCAGTAAACTTCAAGGAACACCGCCCGACTATGATAACACCTGTTTGCGGAAGTATTGTAAGTAAATGACCGTAGGATTTTTTAACTGCGTATATTTAATCTTTTCGGTACATTTTTTCATAGCTCAAATAGTTTTCAGTTCTTACGTACTTTGGTGCCGCTGTAACTTTAAAAGCTCATCAATCCAACTTGCCAAATTTCTCGTTCATTTAAGGAGTATTCCCACGTTTCAGAACACTTTTTTATTCGCACTGGAAGATCACGAAGACAAGTACTCAAACCTGAATCTGTTGTAACGTCGTCTACAGGGATATCAGTTTGCTAGGAGAGACAAAATAAATGCAAATTTTTAAGTTTTAGGAATTGCAAACAGAAAGCCTAACAGTTCTCTACAGTAAAATAATTTCCCGTTCTGTGCTGGCCCCGAGGAAAATTTCATTTTTCTCTCTTGCTCTCTTGTAAATCCACCTCATTTTGTCTCAACAGCGCCACGCTACCCCTCCCCCCTGAAGATTTATTTTGGTAATGTGATAAATGAAATTTCTGATGCCATGCTTTTACAAACGAACCCATGGCATGGCGAATAAAAATGACCAAAACCATCTCCCACAAGGGTTATTTCGCCTCGTTTCGAATTAGAAGATAAATATGGAATAGCTGGGAATCTTAGAAGACAAATAATACATTTGTGCACAATTAATTCGCTCCGGTTTAAGATGGCAATGTAGCTCCTGGATACTAATGCAGATAAATCCAGCTTCTTCCGCTCAACAGCCTTTTTATTCAGCCAAAGGGACATGAGAAGGCAGAAAATAAACTTGCGCACGATTGATTTAGAAAAAGGGACTGTGATTTAGGAAAAGGGAATTCTGCTACCAAAACAAACTTTGAGAGACGAAATAAAGGCAGAACTTGCCCTTATCGATAAGAGATATTATGATAGACCAGAACTCATAACCACTCAATTCAAGTGATAAAATTTCAAAATTAGATAGAGTCTGGTACCGATAGTATCAGAGTCACTGGATGGCAGAACAGAAAGAGGTAAACTGTTGGCGCGATTTAATGCGACAAAATTAATTATTGAGCGAGAAAAATCCTACTTTGTAGCAATTCACATTAATTGGTAGAGATGGTAAAGGGAGTACCGGGTTTTAACAGGAAGCTTTAACGCTGTAATGGAGCTTGTGACAATACCGAAAATTTGGCTCAAGGACAGTAATACGATTCGGGTACTTATCTTAAGAGAGAGCCTATTGAAAAAAATGAATTCTGCTATTGAAAGCGTTAAAGACATATGAGACAGGAAGGCTTGGAGTTATCACCGACTGAGTACAGCAAATATCCATATTCAATGGAAATGCACTAAAATAAAGAGATGAAGATAATCAGGAAAGTATTGGTCATAAGCAGGAAGCTCTAATGTTGCTCAGGAACTTTTTACAATTCAGTATGTTTGTTCACGTTGAGCGACATCCAATCGTCATGCCTCTGTGGGGAATCAAATGAAACCAAAACTTCTTGCTATTGATAGCATTAATAGCATCAGAACAACACAGGAAGACGTTGAAATAGGTAATTATTACGCAATATTTCGAATCACCACCAGGACGTTGGCGATGCTCATCTGATTGGGGTCTCAGAGATCACGGAAAAGAGGCGGTTCTCGTTGATTAAAGAATATTCATTTTCAATCTGTCATTGGCCTGATAAGCTGGCGGCCTTTCACTGAATTGTCTCCTTTTTTATTTTTCGCTTTAAAGTAAGTTTCTCAGACGTAATAGTCTAACAAATACTGATTCTTACACCGTTAAAAATAATATTATTTTGTAAATTCAATCTTATATTCATGTTAAGTCATATATTCAGCATTTGGCCTATACCTGCTTGCCACAATATTTCACATGCAATGCATTTCACACCGAATAAAAAAAATCAGGAAAACTATACATAAGAGTCTGAAGAGTATATATGTGTCAATGAAAATAGAACGAACTCTGGGTTGAAATTCTGCTTACAAAAAAAATTCTAGTTTGTTTTTTTCCTGCTTGAGTGAAAAAGTACAATCAGATTTCTTGATTTCTTCAGATTAGAACTGTTTGCAAGCTATAACGCGTTAATTACGTTACGTTTTAGTCATCCTCAGTATTATTACTTTTATCACTGTTTTTGTTCAGTTATAATTACAATCATCATTTCATCATTGTAACAATAATAATGATAATAATTATTATTTATTATTATTATTTATTATTATTACTATTATTATTATTACTACTATAACTATATGACGTTTATGCCTCGCTAACAATATAGCTACGTGTCAATATTCTACTTTTATCAGTCTATGGTGAAAATTATTCATTTAGCTAATCGCTGCATATAACACAATTTTAATTACAGGTTGAAAGGAAATGGACGGTACATTTCAATAGCACCAAGTCTGATTTGTGAACATCGCTTAAATTCGAGACTGTTAGTATAGAACTTCCCTCCAATAGCAGTGACTGGATATATAATCACTAATTGAAGTTCACTGTAACCGGCATAGACATCGATTAAATAAAAAAACACATTAGTTTAATTAATCTTTCGCGGTACAAATTATTAAGTTTTAATTCGGTGAGAGTTTTTTAAATCCAGGAGAGGGTTAGTCGAAAAATAAAGGAAAAAAGGTAGAAAAACAATGCTTTACCCACCACTTTTTCCTGGAAGCAAATTAAAGCACACTATACGATCAGAGTGGATCTCCGTTTACATGAAAAAATTGTCTACATATGCGTTACAAAGAACAAGATTTTCCTATTTATTGGCTCTTTCACAAGGATGAATTTAAAACACACGTCCAAACCATAAGCTTTATTTTGGCGAAGAAAAAGATTGAGGTCGGGGAAAGTTAGTAACATCTCTTTCCTACATTCGCTGAGCGACCGTTTTGGTAAGGAAAAAATTATTCTGACGCATAGGCGACGCTTCCGTTTTTGTCTTCGATACGAAGCTACTTTTTTGTTTTCACTTTTCTTTTATCAGCTTTTCACACTCATAAGTTCTATTTACATATGGACTTGAATTAGGAGACATTTCGAAATTAATGATGTAAAAAATGAATAACAAGAATGTGAAACCTTTTAGCAGGTTTCGATAAGAAAACCCGTAACGCTAAAGAATTCTACTTACTGAAGATATAAACAATACCCGCTAATGTAAAAGTGGTTTTTGAAGTGGCAGCTGCAAAGCCCGATTTTGAAACGACAAAAAGTGTTTCGAATCGGAAGCGGTAAAAATTTCGCATTTTGAATGGCTAATCAAATAAAGAAAACATCATCCAAAGTGACTTCAAATCATGAGCATGAAACAAAGACAATTTAATTTACTTTGCATGAAAATTAATAAATTTCTGGTTTAGCGCTAGGAAAATTGATGTTAACACGTTCCTAGGTATGATCTGAGGTGTTTCGACTATAAAATATGAAACGTTATTGGCTGCTCCGTCGAGCAATTAATCAATACTGGCTAATACGTTTCCTTTCTTGCTGGTTACTAGAGGGTAAACAAAAATTGTTGTGTCAACCAGCCGCGCTGTTCCTCTAGATCGATTTTTCTTTTCTTTATTTTCAGTTTAATGTGCCCGGACTTACGATTACGAAACGTATTGGCCGCATCTTGTGAGCATTCTAATTACTGTAATAGGGGAATCGCAGACGGTATGTTTATAAAAGAAATCGTATAGCTTTTTACGAGGACAATTCTTGAGTTAATTTGCAATTCATGAACATTCTACATGCAAAGCTGACGAGTAATTGTGAACATAAACACATTAGCCAACCTGGATGGTCTTCGCGTTTTTTGTGGAATACAAGTCAATACGGCAGTTGGTCGAATTTCCCCGTCCATTCTTTCATTTTAACGTGACACTTTCCTTTGCGCACTCTTTCATCGCCGTAGCCTAGAGGTAGGAACTGGATTCAGTAAGTTAACTACATAAACGCCAGCTCTTAATGCTAACTTCGCTTCGCATTGAATATTATTCAAGTCTACCATATTATAGTTAGAAAGATTCCGATATTAATTCTCTGCCGCTGTTATGTATCGGTCACAATTTTTAGCACAACACATATGCTCACTGAACAATGTCGATGAAAACTGCGCCGTCCCACATTTAGTTGATCTCAGGCTAAATAATTCGGGCAAACTCTTAGGTAACACTACAGATTATTGAAATTGCTTTCCATTGCATTTTTCTCGAGGGATAAAATTTATAATGAGATCCAGTACATTTAATATGGGCCACAAGGAAAATGTTTAACGGAACGAAAAAAAAATTAAGAAGTCAGGAGCTTAACAGTTATGTAAAAAGGAAGGAAAAGACACTTGGATTGATTACACAGCTTCGTAATAAGTTAATCTTGAAAGGGGAAGTACAGACAAAAAATTATTCCCAAGTTTCATTTAAATTTTTCTTAATTCTTAAAGCGTTAGATCAATAGAACGAAAGAATATTAAATGCAGTAGTTGCTATCTGACCATGATTAAGAATTAATTAGGGTAGAACCTACTCAAAGGCTTTTCTCACGACAGCATTATCAGGCTCCATAGACGTAGTTTTAATCGCAAGATAAGAATGACCACCAATTGGCATTTGAAAGTGAATCTAGATGCTTTTATCGGTTGAATTTTATTCCGAACACGACTAAGTGACCATTGACATTTGTTGGACATCCAAAAATCAATTGCTTGATTGAAAGAACGTTGACCGCAAAACTGTGCGTGATCGGCACTTAGTGAGTGGGAGGGTGGGGTAGGGGAAGTCTTTGTCTTCTAATTCCGAATCAAATTAGTTAATCAACTCACTAAGAATCTATTCTAACAAAAGAAAAAAAGTACCTAGTGTAGAGTTCCCTTGCATTTGGATGGTAAAAATAACTGTAAAGGGTAGGAGGACAATACAAACTATCTCATTGTCAAAATATAACAGCCATTACTCTGTATTATGTTTCTTTAAACCTCTTTTAGACGTTTTCTGTGCATACTCCACTAAGAAAACCCGAAACAATTATGACTGAAAGTGACCAACTAAATTTGAAAAAAAATGTCTTTCCGAACGTTAGCGTGAGTGTTTCCTCTCTGCTACCTTGAACTAGCCTGACACCTGCTTTTTCTGTTTGCCACATACGTCAATGGTCGGATTAATTTTTAAAACTTTAAAGTATACTTCCTGTTTACCTTCGCAAGCATTCAATCCGGTGCCTCCAGCCTGCCTGTTGACGAATCAGATGTCCATTAGGTATTTGATATCAGACGATCGCTTTAAAATAGCGTACTGGTGTCGATTTGACTAATCGGCGATGGTGGTTTAGCGTGGTCTGTACTCTTATCGACAACGATATTCGTCATCACACTGGTCAAAATCTGTTCTGGACTCTCGAGGCGCAGCCACGATATCAAAGTCAAATAAAACGATTCTTTCAGAGTGTGACACGATGACTCGAGCAGCTTTGTTTGTACTCTTATCGACAACAGCAAATTGGCTAATCAGATTGCGGCATTGCTTCTAATTATGGTAAAATTCCCGTTTGGGAAGTCTATAAACGATTAAAACACTAATATATCTGTATGCAGGCTGATTTTGATTCTATCTGGGCTGGATAGTCAGTATTTGTCGAGTTCCTTCCAGGCAGAAATCTGGAAACAGTTGACTCATGTTTTACAAGTTGGAAATTTCTGCCTTTTTAGATGTATAATAGACACGCTTAAAAGAAAAACAAACAAAACAAAAAAAAACACAAAAAGAAAACTCACCAAAGAAAACACACCAAAAAAACACACATAGTTTGCAGCCAGGTTCCTCGACTCGCAACGAACGCCGGCAAATTCTATTATTTTCTCTGAACGAGTTCCTCAATTTCTACGATGCCTTAATATTAAACTTACATAAAAGTCCTCATCCCTCTGTCTTATTTCATATCATAATTTATTGTGTTCTCAAACAATCGCTATCATATACTGATCAATCATTTATTGAAAAAGACTCCTTTCTCGAACACTTGTGTACGATTTGTTTTATGCCGTGCCATCGAAAACACAGCATTTAGAGAGCCGTTGCAATTGTATATTCAACGGTGTTACTTGTAATCTTCCGCCATCTGCGATGTACGTGATCCTATCCTCGCCGAAATTTAACAAGCGGTGCCATAACGTTCTCGTTCCTTTCACCAGTTGGACTACAGTCATTAAATTTGAATTGACGTACGTTCCTTGCATTCTATCATAAGTTGTGGTGAAAAAATGTTTTTAAAGAGCTTTAATGACAGTGATTAATTCCTCATTACCATTTATGATAATCAATGACCGAAAATGATGCTTAATAACAGTAAACTATGTTTGGTGAGAGTGGGTGGTGTATTAAGCTGAATTATTGCCAAGGTCGTTGAATAATGCCTCCCTCCAGTTCGGCTTCGGTTCATCTCTTGGCGAAGCCTAGTTAGAGGGAATGCTGTCTCTTTACGTCGAATGACACCTAATAGGGACGTTAAGCAAACCACAACGCCGACGGCGACGGCGACGAGGACGTGTAAAAACAAAAGATCTCATTGGCAGAACAATAGCTCAGCAAGTACGTTTGAAACTTTGTACGTTTCTTAGCTGTCCCATGCAAAACAACAGCGTGAAATCGCCAAAATTTGCGTCGTTTGCGAGCCAAAACCGCGACGGCAAATTATTTTAATTTTTTTTTGGAACTTAACGGTACTTTTATACTTTATGCTGACGTTGAGATGTGGTATCGTACGAGATGGTAAACTCATGCAGCCATTTTTTAAACTCTAATTTAAAATAGCAATTCATTTTTTTAATCGAAGTCTTCCTTCACGTTGCCGTCCTGACTGCTTAAGGTCCCTAATGACGTCGAAGAACGCCTAATGAAGGCGAATGATATCTCATCGCTGTACATGATGTCTACGGCCCGAAAACGATTTTGAATAAAGTATGTGCTATGTCGCATTATGTGTGCATGATATATAGTGGCATGGTGTTAACTAGTTGTGCAACACTTTTCAGTGGTATAACCATAGATTGAAATGCCACTTGTTTTTCCTTGCCGCACACACTCACCAAATAACTAACTATTATGCCATGAGAAAACCTTTAGCTCGCGGGATATCCTATGGTATACACTCCAGTTAGTATTTGTGACTCTTCACGAACAACTCAAGGGCACGGTAATATTTTGCGCTTAGAAATAGGCAGTGGATTAAAAGACACCACGGGGTGTCTGATAACACGACTAATTAAGATTTTTCCTTTATATTCTTCAGGAAACATTGCCTGGAGACTGCACAACAATGTCAAGCCTCAACACTACCTCCAAACCATCAAACAGCGTTTTAGCCGATGACTCGCCCTCCTTTAACCACTTGATTCCAATTGACATACCTCCTATAACTTTGGGAATATTGATTCTTTTGGCCAATGGCCTCGTCATAGTTTTGGTAGCAAGGAAACAGCGATTAAGAAGTTTAACAAACCTGTTGTTGTGTAGCCTGGCTTTATCAGACCTCCTATCCGGGGTGATAAGTATACCATTATTCCTGATGTGCAACTTATTGCGCAAGCCGGGCATCTGTATCGCTGAGGATCAAATGTTGCGATTCACGTCGATTTCCACCGTTTCTCACATTGTGGCTGTTACTGCAGACAGGTAAACATAAACCCTCTTTGCAACTGCAAAGAGAAAATTAAGCAAGAGAGGATAAGGATGGAGACTGATTTTTCCAAGATGGCGCATTCAAAAGAAAAGTTTTTCCTTGTAAGGGGGTTTTAACTCAAAATTATCACTCAGTTTGTGTTGTGTTTTAAACGCAAAAAAGACATGAAAATTGACCGCATCAAATTTAACTACAAGCGTTACAAAAGAATTATTTGAAGGGGAACCAGAGCTGCCTTTCATACTCTTATTAAAACTGTTTTACCAGTGACGATAAATAATAGTTGATTTAATTCTTGAACAGTGGCAGTGACTTAAAATTAAGAGTTGAAGAGCCACCTTAACTATTGCATTTGATTCTATAACTGTTAGGTATCTCGCCATTATTCATCCCTTGAGGTACAAGGCGATATTTACCCACTCAAGATGCGTTTCTGTCACGCTGAGTATCTGGGTGTTATCAGCTACCGTGGCTATGGTCCAGCTGAGTTGGATGAACCCATTTGATCACGACGTAAATCAGGACCCTACCCCTGATATCATGCGAAAGGAAAACATTTATGATGTCACATGCGTCCTTGCCTTCATCATCGTGCCGTTAGTCTTTATGGTCTTCGTCTATGCCAGGATCTTCCTTGAAGTCTCGCGACAGATCGCCTCCCTCCGAAAGCAAACTGTGTCTGATAGCCAGGATTCTCGAAAGCTGAAATACGCCGAAAGGAGAGTTATTATGACTTTTTCAATGATGTTACTGGTGTATACCGTTTGCTGGCTGCCATACTTCATCTTGCGACTGAATGACCTAACTTACATTAATGATTTTATCATATACGTCATCTTGTGGCTGCGATTTTTGTCGTCCTTTCTAAACCCATGTTTATACATCTTTGGAAAGAAGAATCTCCGATTCGCTTTAAAGTGGTCAGTGAGGAGAGATAAACGGTACCAGAATGAAGACATAATTCCACTCGATCGTGTGGGGGCTCCAGTATAACAATACGAAAAGGAAACATTTAATCTGTAAATCTGCAGAAGAGGCAACATATATAGATCCAATCAGGGAGTCGACTTAGTGGAAGATGTTAATTCCATGTCATTTATATATATTTTTCAATTTAGATAGAATCAAAAGTTTTATCACGTTTCCCAAGGCTTCAAAACTGTGAATCATAGCTGACGGAATCATATTGCTGGGCCGTTTTTACCAACAAGACTAACATCTTCACGAATTCTAGTTAGTTTGCAGAATACAATTAACAATTGACCACCGATAAGTATTCTAGGACACTTGTACGCGAACGTAGGAGCCCCACTGGAAAACATGACCCATGCCCAAGCCAAATTGATAGAGAATGATATATGGGCATGCGTAGATGTGGAATTTCTCTTCGAGCGTGTAATTCGATATCGAGTTGAACAAGGGAAGAAATATTTCATATCTGCAAGCAATCATGTATCATTTTGTTTACTATGCAAACACCATGGGCCTTTCCTGATAAGAAAAGTTTAGTGAACGTGAACGCTTTTTCACTCTCCGCGATTCGAGAAAAGTGTTGCCGCGTCGCTTTGTCAGTTTTTGAATAAAACTTTTCGCGCGTTGATTTTGCTTTTGCTTTCATGTAAGCAGAATGAATTCCAAAAAATATTTCTAACCGAAAATAAAGATGTTTACAAGTCTAGTGTGCAACGTGCAACCATCGAGTTATGGATGCACTTAATGTTGATTTGTTTCGGGAGAAGAAAATCAGTTGGCGGGAAATTTAACATAAACAATAATTTTAATGGAACACGATCGCTAACACATACATAGAGCGCATGGAATAAATTAAAAGCTTGCACAGAGTCATAGTCGGTCATGCACGCAATGTGGATGTAACTAACAATTATTCCACGAGCGCGCGTTGGATATGAAACGATAGATAGCTATAATCATCTCATATCCAACAAGCGCGAGTGGAATAATTGTTTTATTAAAAACGTTAAAGGACATTATTAAATTTTATTAAATTTTTAACTCTCTTTTAATTTTAAGCTGACACGTACGCTAACCATATTTGTAGATTATGGTATATCTAGTTTTTAATAATCGCTAATACATCAACACTTATAAGGTTTGCTAAACATTCAAAAAGCCAGTTGCACTCGGCAATCGCCTCGTTCAACCTGATGTATAAAGTCTAGAGAGCAGGCCAGCCAAACCTGAAACTTCTTGAAATATGTTATTGAATAAATACTGAAAAAGACAAAGGCCGTGAAGAGTATTCTCCTCTGTAGAAATCATGCTTTAGACGTATCTTCCACGTTGCAATATTTTTAAGTTTGAAAACAATCGCACAGGTTACCGGGGCTCATAAAGATAACTCACAAAAACAAATCCCAGACTCAGAAATATTTGAACAGAGGAATTCTAGACTTTCACACCGACAAGAGTTTTTTTGATCAGAGATGTTGTTTGCAGGAACCAAAATTTTTCAACGGGCCATTCGCCACCTCATCAAGTGTTTGTGAGGTCAATAATCCTAAAACAATGCAAGTTTTAAAGAACTAGTTCTGATGGAGCTTACTCCTTGGAGCCGGATTCAATACAAATATTTCTTTTCTCGGCAACTGACCGGAATACCTATTCTCACTATCAATGAAGTTTTGATCTAGCTTCTACTTATATCGCAAAATAATACTATCCAGCCTGGATAGTGTATTGAATTGACGAGAAAAGACAAGCAAATCAGCTGGAGGGTATTACCTTTGTGAGACACGTTAATTTCTTAACTTATTTACACGAATAAATGAATGAATGAACGAATACCTCTACTTAAGGGTCAAACTGAAATAACAGTAAGAAACCACTAAATGGGGACACTATGAATAAATTAAAATAAAGAATTAAAATTGATAACACTATTTACAATTGATAAAACGAGTACGTAGTAGATAATATTTTATTACATGTGCATAGACTTAATAAAATACTAAAGTGTCTATTATGTACGACATAAAATATTTTCAGAACGATGAGCATCGGCCCTGCAGTAAGGAATTTAAATCAAGCTTTCTAATACGCTGTTAGATACAGATAATGCAGCAAGGTCTCTTACATTTTTGGGTTTTAGACTCCACAACTCTGGACCAATGTATCAGACGGAATGCTTTCCATGTGTAGTCGTATTAAATCTAGGCACGGCACGCATTTATATATGGAAACTAGTAGTGAGCATCACGATTCATATTCAGTGTTTAATAGACATCTTTCAGATCGCAGTAGTTGTCTCTCTTTTGCCTATTTCCGAGTAACCTCCACCTCTCTTACTATAGAAATCGTTGGCGTCAACAGTAGTCTTTAATGCGGTTGATTGCGTAGTCGATGAATTTTGCTGCAGCTTAGTCGGTCGCACATGTTCTATCAGAGCTCGGCGGAAATCTTTTTTGCCAAATATGTACATACAGGGGTTTAACAGTGACACAAGATACCTCAACCAAACGACAGCCAGTATAAAAGTCACTGGCAACTCTGACAAATCGAATCGACGAAGTATAAAATAAGGCAGACAACAGATTATGTAAACGAAAATCATGGCGGCAAAGATTGCAATGGCTCTCCACTCATGACGATTCCTAGCTCTCCTCCTGGTGTTTTGTAAGCCAGGCATACTTTCTCGCTGGATGTTGCTACTTTGACGAATTATCTCAAAGATTATTCTCGCATAGGTAAAACACATGAACAACAAAGGAATCAGAAAAAACAGAATGAGAAAGAGTATATCATAGATGAGTTCTGCTCTCTTGAAGGATTCCGAAAGATCATCATGTGGATCGTGGTTGAACGGGTCGAGCCATGTTAGTTGTACCAATGAAGTGACAGCCGATATTGTCCAAATACAGATGAAAACCATTGTACATCTGTAGAGTGTTACCAGTGAAGTGTATCGCAAAGGGTGTACAATTGCCAGATATCTGAAACAGAAAGTCGTTTTCATAAGGGTTATGGATTATTACCAGTTTATCTAATTCATCCATCATCATTATTATTATTTTTATTATTATTATTATTGTTACCTTTATTATTATTTATTTATTCTTTTTTTGACATGGTTAGTTTCTTAATAATTGGAGCAATAGAACTCATTTTTTTCGGGCCCTTTAACGTGATAAAACCACGCGGGACGTTATTGTTACCACATTTCCGTTACCTGTCAATTACAACAGACATTAGATGAGTCACAATCGACGCTGAAATGAACCGAGACAATTGCTCTTCTGTGAGGCAAACTGCTAATCCACGGATGATGTTACACGTCATAAATAGTGGTACAGAAACCAGGCCTGTGAGGAGATCGGATAAGGCCAGGCTACATAGCAGTAGATTGGTGATGGATCTCAAGTATATTTTCCTTGCCACCAAGATCAAAACTAAACTGTTAGTGATGACTATGAATGTCGCCAAAGCAATCGCTGGAACGACTACAGCAGGTTGGAAACGACCTTCGCTCATGTCATCGAACTCGTCATCTGCAGGCAGACAAAATAGTAAATAAATAATGATGATTAATCGGAACTACAAACATCCAAGCAGTGGTTCGTCCACTGTTTTCAGGTAAATAGGAATCGAGGGGTGTTAGTTTTTTTGAAGAAGAAAGCACGAGAATCGGGAGAAAAATATGTAAGACAAAGAGTAAAACCAACAACAAATTTAATCTACGTATAACAGCAGGTTCGGAAATCGCGTCCAAACCTCAGTCTGCTCCTCAAACAAATACGTAGGAAGATTTCATGCCATTTATAAAGGAAACTGAATTCTTTTCTCTTTTGATTTCTTAATTGAGCTGTTTTTTCAATATTTGCAATTTAACCACACATGACTGAAAGCTGCAGCTTACAGCGCAGAAGATTGCAAGTCTTACGTGTAAACCAATCCGAGGTGTCTATGAATCTGTGTGCATAGCTGAGACAACAAATTGCAATGTTTAACAGAAAAAATCGTGAATTTTTAGGTTCCATTTAAGAAGAAATATATATTCTTAATTCCCTTCACATGTTCACCCCCAAAATAGTCCATTAATAAAATCAGGGGTACCTAATTAAGTCGCTTGGAAAATGCAACTCATTCCATGACAAATACATCGTCATCTCCAAGTTTTCTTAATTTTTCTTTGAAGCCTGAAATTTCTTAGTGATGCTTGGAATTAGGCGGCAAAATATCCTTAACTTAAAAGAGGTGACACACTGAATACGGATACTCATGAGGTTTGAAAGGCGGAAGGTTGTCGTTAAACGAGTAATGACAAGCTATAGAATTGAAATTGGGCAATCCAGGGCGTATTTCGTCGATGCGCATTGTAGAGGCCCAGTCAATGTAATAGAGAGCGGTTAAGTATACTCCTTAAGCTTTTTTGTTTGATGTTTTGTTACTGTGGTGCAAGAAGACGATAACTCTATTTCTGCCTCGCAATTTTCATAATGGCATTGCAATTGGCCAAGAGTATCTTTGTAATGAATAAAGAAATTCAATCATGCAGTTAGATTTCTACGAAGGAAAATTCGAAGAGTTTAATGGTATCGCTTTGTAGCGACTTTGTTTTCAATTTGCATGAAAAACCCATTTGATGGATATCAAAACAAACTCGCTATAATATTAACTGAGCTCTGTGGCGGGTTTGGATCACTCTGATATAGCTTATTACATGATAAATATTTCATTGAATTCAATCCATCCTAAAAATTTTCTTCCATACATTTCTTAATATGTAAAATTAAAAGGTGATCATATTCTTGTGAAAACACAGAGCTGTTTATTTTGGGTTGCTTAAAAGCGACATGGAAAATTGCCGTTAAATGATATGATGTAGTTAAATAATCGATTTCTTGCAAAGAAAAACATCGAAGACGCAAAAATTAACCAAAACAAAAAGAAAAGAATATTACCATAGAGAATAGCAAAAAATACAAAAAAGGCGAACTCAAAAAATTTATCGTGATGAGCCCAAATTGAATATTTTTTTCTTCGTTCTTTTGCCTCTTTTTTAACTATTTAGTTTTTCTTTTTTTTTTTTTTTTACATTTCAAACTAAATCCTTAAACTTGAATATATCATTTAGCGATACATGTCAAAGGTCTGTCTGGTTCAAACATTTTAGCATAAGCAATGTATTACATTTATAGAATTAACTTTTTTTTCTTACCTGATTTTGAGAAGTTTTTTAGCGCCAAACCGGTAGAAACGTTGTCAAACCGAGAGTCGTTCTGTACACTTGACGTTTGGCTCATCATAGCTCTGTTTAACCAAAGGTGAAAATGCCTGTTGAGACCCAACACGCTAGAAGGAATAGAAAGATGTAAAATCTAATTTGGAAGGTCACCTAAATTTTGTTCAGTCCAGGAATAAGTCCCATATTTAGAAGTTCAGTATTGGATAGCGACGTGTTCCAATCTGTTGCAAAATCGTTGAGTATTCTTGAGGTTTTTGGAAAACTTAAGCCAGACTAAGTAAACTGCGATTTCAGAAGAGGACAAATCCATTCTTTTAAGTTTATACAGCGGGGCTTTCGGAGAGTAAACAGTTTGCATAAAAAAAACACACAATGCAAATAAAGCCTGGTGAAAATCGCATAGACAGGTGTATCCTTTCCAATTATCTCCCTTTCAGTCGGGCCTTAAAAAAGCCGTATATTCCGGCCATTCAGACGTACTGTAAACCAATGAAATCACGATTTCGAAGCCCTTCTACATTAATATCTCATGACATGTGGACTTAAGAGTCAATTTCAATTAAATATTCGATAAGCTGTTTTACAACTAGGACAAAGTCGCACATAAAATTGTTTTCTCCGTAAAGAACTATTATGATAGAATGACGAAATTTATGGAGCAGTTGCCAGGATGTTTTATTCGTCAATCTTGATCCTGATGAATGTCTTGACAAAAGAATTTCAATCGGATTGGAGTAGAGACAACCTTTTATTTAAGTCGTTTCTCAGTGCCCATGGCAAATTATTTTTATTCTTTCTTTCGAAATATGTAAAGATAATTTCCGAACATAGTTGCGGTTATTTTCAAAGCTATCAGCGAGAGTTTTATCGACCTTCCTCCTCCAATTCAGAAATTGGAATCCTTATCTTTTCACGACGCCGGTGTATTTACACACAAAATTAAAATGCATGAGTGCAAAATGTAAATTTTACAATCAATTCTTGGAGCAGACTCTAGATTTCAATAAAGATATAGATGTTGGACAAAAAATTTGAAGAGAAATTACAAATAATAGTAGAAAAAGAGCATAAAAATTGGGCAGGTTTATTAAATAGCAACTATAGAGTAAAGTTGGCATCAACATTGCGGACTGTATTAGATGGGAGCTGGAAAATACGGCAAACTATTTCGTGAAATAAATTCTTTATCAGATCCACCTCTCAAAAACATTCTATCTACAATGCACATTGTATAAAAAGCCGTTAAGGGAGCTGTCAATCATGTGTCGGATCTCTCAGGAAATAATGGCGATATCAAACAGGGTTCAAAAGGTCACGTCCCGTTGTCAAACTAAATTCTGAATTTTCTATCCATTTTGCTAGTTTTTTTCCACAAAGTACTGGAACATGAAAGCAGGTTTATTAATTCATTTACTTTAATTATAATTTCTAACTTTTAATACTTCAATTCCTGACCATCCTTCCCACTTAATTTTTTTTCTCATTAAAATTTCTAGGTGTAAAGATTTTAAATAAAGCCAAATTCCCATTGATGAAGTGTTAAGTGTTTCTTGTAAAGTACACTCTTCGTCTATTTTAATTCACAAGTTGAAAAGACTCGTAACGAAAAAGTGACAGACACGTTTGCTTGATATTATTTGAAGCTAATTTTTCATTAAATCGTCTCGCGTTGGTAATTTGTCATGTCAGTCGCGCCAGTTTAAAAACCCAATATTTGTAAATAAATGCAGAAAACACATCTCCTGAGTTTAAGAAACTAATGTCAACCACTTTCAGTCCGAGAGCCCTTTTAAAATCTTAAAAAAGGGATTATCAGTTCCTGAACAAATATATTAGGAAGGCGAAATATGATCTGTTAAAATCTTCCCTTTTCCGTTACCATGGTAATTTGGGGAAACTACGTTCACTAGCGATTAAACAACAGAAATAACATATTCATAAAAATACTGAAAGGTGATGTATGCGGTAAAGATTTCAGTGCCTCTTTTGGAATATGTCGTTGCCCCATCTTTGGTAATAATTTGTAGAACCATTCACCTGGAAATAGTCTTGCATAATTTCGGATGCGTTTCTCTTTATGTTGGTCAACATATCGAAAAAGTTAATCCGAAGGTTTGAGGGTTAATTCCTCGTGGGGACCGATAACTCAGTCTTTTTGTCTTACGTTTATAACAAGACGAAAAAAGAAACATTTTCTAATCAGTCCATCGTACATTCTCAGCACAGGAAGTTATGCGTATTCTGCAACATCCTGCAGCATTTCTAAACGCGCTTGAATTTAACTATTGGTCAGAAGGAAACGAACGATCAAAAAGCTTTAAAAATATAGTTGTGACAATCTTAATTTACGATATGTGCCTAGGAAGGATATTAAAGAAAAGTAAAATTTTTGCTGCATTTGCCTGAATGCTGTACCTGCTTGTGGTGTTAAGTTTTTTACCGTCAAGTTATCAAATTCTGGACAATAAAAGTCGTTTATCTTTCCACCCAAACACGGTGGACACTTCTTTCAAATTACTAATTAACTTTCTTCTCGAAGTTACCCCGAGAAAATTAATTCAAGGCAGGCTGAGAGGATTCAAAAGAGAATTGACTGATCGATTTTAACAAGATCTGACATTCTCGAAAAGCTTCTCAATACGATTCATACTAGAGTTAGATATTGTTTCGAATTCAGCAGTCAATTGCAAGAGAGACAAAATTTAAGTTTTAATGCGTAAAATCTTTTCTTTTTCTAATTTTTTATTTTTTCTTTTGCTTACAGCGGAACGAGGGCTTAACTTCTTAGAGCTTAGAGTCAATTGGGCATGAATTAAAGGCGACCCTGGAAGACTGGTCAGAATTTATCCTGACACAAACTTGGCAGGTTTTTGTTTATCACAACACTCTTGCAAATAAACCTGGAACGTTTATCTAGAATCGAAAAAAAGTGACCAAAATATAGGTATATAGGTATGACTTCGTAATTCTTTGTATTTACACACAGGGTAAGAGTCGACATATAATCGGTTTTTGTTCAGAACGAAAGCTGTCACTTCTTTGAGTCAATTTAAAATGGATAATTCCAAAATGGGCGTGTAAAGACAACTCTGCAAAACCGAAATATAAAGATATAAAAAATAAAATATTCATTTTCTTTCTCAGCTCCTAAGACTTACCCAGCTTGATTTTTTCAAACGAATTTCCTCAGAAAGTTGTGATGTCAGAAGAGATCTAGAATTTGTTCAGTACTCACATATTTCCAATACAAGCTGTTGATTACTTTAAGCTCTTCCTATCGTATCATCCTCTAGTTGTAAATACTGTTATGATAAGTTACATATCATAACATTACTTAAATAGGTTAAGATTTGTGTGATGTATAAAGGAAAACATTTCTTTAAACCCAAACCTGTTATTTACATCTGGACATATTTCGTGAAAAATAAAAACCAGTCTGTCTTACGTTTATTTGGTGTTGGAAACACCATGATCGATTGATAACGGTTGAAACGTTCAATATGTCATCTTATACGTACCAGTTGCCATATTTAAATCATAAAAAAAAAGAAAACCGAATATTGATTAGACAGACGCAACGTTCAGTTCATTTTCTTTAGACTTACATGAGGTTATCCCTTTGTGAAATACGTCTGCAATAGTCAAATAGGACGAAGAAACACAGTTTTAACTCTGGTTTTGGTGTCTATACATCAGACTCGCGCGGTTTTTTTCCCTCAAGATGTCGACTTGAATAATGATTTTTCATAATTGCTTTCACTTTGATATAAAGCTATTAGTTGCTGTCAAAATGTAAAGTGCGTCATAAGAAGTAATCCGAGAAAACTGATTCATGTCTATTGGCTCTAGACTCGATTCATAGTTTTTTATGCTAAAACAAATTGCATTCATTTGTTAGCGAACGTTTTAAAGTGAATTGTCTACTCCACCTGCATCTGTTCATTTGTTGATTGAGAGCAAATGGGAAAGACTTTTCGGCTCGTAAACCTGAGTGAGCTAAAAGAAATGATAAAACTTCGGATTGTAAAATACTATGTGCATAAAAAATGTCTTATAGCGATTTTCTTCTCTTCTTGGATCATCAGAAGTGAGAAAGGATTGACAATGGTTGAAACCATTTCCTTTTCTTTGATGAAAAAATACTTCTGTCCCGATACTTATTCTTTCGATTGAGGCTGGGCGATCCGAATGGAAAGATTTTTTTTTTAAGATTTCTTGGAAAATCAAAATTTGGCAGCGTAGTTATTTTCAGTCTCTTAATATAACGAGACAAAAGAAGTAAATGCTTTTTCTAGATAAATAATATTCTACATTTACTATATGTGACAGTGAAATTTGACAAGACTTTATAATTATGGTCAGGGAGCCATATTTCATTCCATTATAACATAATAGACCTTTGCCATAATGGCGGAAAATCCGATGGAGGTCTGAGACTGGTTACGAATAATTTCACGAAAGCGAGGCCACCCGGGCAACCCATATGGCGTCTGACGCGAATACAAACTCTCTTTTTAACCGAAAATAACATTCTTGGAGGTTCCTTAGGAGATAGAAATCCTTCACAATTGAAGACTGAGGACTTGAGATTATGGTTGAGGTGCAGAGGTGAACCAGCGAAAGGTTTAAAGACAAAAGCAGAGCTTGTGAAAAGGTTAGCTTCGAGCACAAGATGCGTACTTCGAAGTGTTTTAATTGCTTGAGAAGATTGTCAGTTGTGATTCCTGACCTAATTTCTTATACTTTAGGGTCCTTGAATATATCAAGAGCGGAAAAGATAAAAACATTATTGATCTTTACTCCAACAATCTATATTCTAAATGAAAACAACTACGCTCGGCAAACAACACAAGTTCACACTCCACCGCTAAACGACATGTTCACGTCAAGTTCCCTGAATCTATGTGGGGTTACTCACTTCAGAAGATGCCTCTGTTTACCAGAACGGAATTAAACAATTATATAACACGTTATGGGGTCTAGAAAATTGTAGATTTCCATTAAAACAGCGTTGTGAGGAAACGAAGTGTAGCAGGACACAGCAGAATTGTCGGCGCGAAATCTTTCAATAGAGAAAAAATCTACTTTTTAAACATTCATTCTTCTTTGAAATGCTTTCTATTTCTCTTTGGAGCTCT